TTTTTTTTGGGGAGTTTTTCCTTATCCGCTGTGAGGGTCTTAAGGACAGAGGGATGTCGTATGCTGTAAAGCCCTGTGAGGCAAATTGTGATTTGTGATATTGGGCTTTATAAATAAAATTGAATTGAATTGAATTGAATTGAATTGAATGGGACTGACAGATGATCCATATTGCACATTCTGCGCCCCTGGGTCCTTGGGCTCGTTTGTTCATGTTGTATGGGAGTGCGCTGGGATTTTGGAATTCTGGGGGAAGGTTATTAGGACTTTAAATGACTTAATAGGAATACAACTGCCAATGGACCCGTTTGTACATCTTCTAAATGACGATTCCAAACTATCTCTAACAGGAAAATCACGCAAAATTTGGCTGGCAGGACTGAGAACAGCCAAAAAGATCATGGTCCAACATTGGAAGCCTCCCCATGATATCTCTAAGACACATTGGCTTCGGAGTTTCTTGGATATTGCTTATTTGGAACTGTTGTCAGCAAGGATTAACAATGCTCAACAAGACACAATTTTATTATGGACAAACCTGATATCAGACCTGAAACATATTCTGACTAAATAAGGACACAGTGTGTGTGTGTGTGTGTGTGTGTGTGTGTGTGTGTGTGTGTGTGGGGGGGGGGGGATGTAGCTCAGTGGGTAGAGCAGGCTGCCTGTGCAGAAAGGCAATGTCCTTGCTGCAGCAGCCATGGCCCCTCGCTCCCATCAATTACAGGCAAAAATCCAAAGAATTTTTTTTTTTTTTTAGAAAATTGCTTGTTTTTCAGATTTCAGCAGGGCACCTTAAAAAGGGTAAAAAGTGTGGGTGCAGCAGGGTTTGTTTTCTCTACAAAAATCTTCTTTGGAGAAAAGAATAAAAATCATGCTGATATACTTGCTTGCCTTTCTTGGCACACACTATAATTATGTAAAGTATCAAGAAATGGCACAGGCATTTAACACAAATTAAGGTTGAAATGATTCATTTTGATGGCTGTATTTTGTATTTTGTTGTCCACTGTGTCATAATTGGTTGACAGGATGTGTTCATTTGACCACAAGTTATGCTGACTGATGGAAATACTTGCTTTTGTTGTATATTTTTAAGGTTTTGTGAGTGTTGAGTGTGTGTTTTGCCAACAAAATGTGTCATTTTGGAGACTTTCACTTCAGGTCCATGTGTGAACTATTATGAAAATGTAACTTCTAAATGGACAAATATGTTCAAGCAAATGAGAAAAACTATAATGTTAGTATTTCCTTCTTTAAATTGTTATCTGAAACTGTGCATTTCAGTCCCCATACTACCATACTATGTAGTATGTCAGAAAAATATGTATTACGCCAAAATTACCAGGATGTTCTGCTACATCCGGTCAGATTTTGCAGTTTGCAAGCCAGCATGCTTTTCTGTCTATTCTGACCCACAATTGTCTCCGTGGCAGAAGATATGTCACATCGACTGTCAGAGGTTGCAATGATAAATGACATTCAGGTGACTGATGACCAGCCGATTAGTAATAATGAGAATATTAATTGTTATTGCAAAATAACATCAGAGCTGTGAACGGCATTTTGTTTTATCTCCATGGTAACAGATACATGAGTAAGAGGGCGTGATGTTATGAAGAAGTAGTATGTCCCAATTGTGTGCACATTGCATGCATTCCTTTCAAGGGCAGCTGCAGTGCATAATAAAAGTAAAAAGAGAAAGTATGTGATTCAGAGCGCACCCAGTTTTAACAGGAGTGTAAAACCTATGCTGACCAGTAGATGGCACTGCAAAACCACTCTAGTCAGTGCATATGAGTGAGCTTTACTGTGTATAAGACAGTTACGCATAACACAGTCACTATCCTCTGTCCAGACACAATGTTGCATGCATTTCCAATACTTTGACACTGGCCACTGTTAATCATCAATCATCTCCATTCAGCACACTCATACATTTTATTAAACATCACGACAAATCCAGAAATCTCTTTGAGGTTTCACTTATTTATTGTTTTGTTAATGTTTGTGCAAGGATAAGAGTTACAAAAATCTACAGACTAGACATGATAATATATCCTGTTCCTATCATACAATGTTATTTATACAAGTATCCTTTAACAGTATGTATATATTCAATCCAATGTACCTATTACACTTTAAAGATATATTGATCATCCTTATAAGAGACGACAAACACCACCAACAGTAAACAAGTTCATCTAAACACCCACACGGCCCGAGCGGACCGTGTGCAATCTAGACATTATGTAAGCTTCAATGATACTGATGTGCTATATCATGTTTCTAGTACAACTTCATCAAAATGAAAACACAGAACCTACAAATGCAGCACAGTTCCCTGTCGTGTTTATAAGTGCATTAGTCACTTGTATTGTAGGAGAACCTTTTACTTGTTTATTGAGGTAACACAGCTAATCTTTTTTTATATAGAGAGATGACTACATTATAAGAACATTTTGTGGATTTTAATTTTTATTTCCTTGTATTAGTTATAAGGTTGGCATGTCTATAATGTCCACAGTAATGTAAGTGTCCTATGTGTGACTGTGCCCCTGCAGCCCGGCCTTCCTCTGCCATCCATTGACCTGTTCTCAGATTAATGAATGAAGGGAAAATATAGATTTGACTGAAATAAGTTTTATTTTGTTGCGTAAGAAGTACATTTTGGAACAGCTTGCCAGTCCTGACATGCAGCAAACACTATGGATTTATCAAATATCAGTCACAATGTAACAGTCCTGGTTCACTGCTGAGGGGATGCAACAAACAGAGGCAGAGTCTCAGGTTGTTGCTGACTGTGCTGCTGCTGCACTGCTACCAGTAACCTGGTCCGAACCCATGCTTTTCGCCGGTGATGCTGCCACCCCCAGTCAGACGAGCCACTACTGATCAATTACAACTGTAACCAAGACACTATCCTGCAGTAGGTTTTACCGAGACATTATGTTTGGAACTTCTTATTGTTCTTCTTTTGGAAAAAATAATAATTGGGCATTCCAAGAGAGAAATGGAGGATGTTTCCATTTAGTTTAAAGCTATTAGCATGTAGCATTTTTCAAATTATTCTGATAACTTTTGAGAAAAATTAGCCAAACCCAGTGAATATTGGGGCCATCTAGGAGTTGCTTTCAGCCCTTTGTAATCAATATATGAATATCCATAGGCTGGATTAGTATGGGGTGTTTTGGTGTGGCAAGCACCTGCCACAGATTTTTAAAATGTATTTACTTCTTTAAATAGTGGCTCTAATGCAGATGTAATTTCCTTGGAGATAGCATCTAGTGGCCATTAGAAGTACTGCAACTTAATACAACTCTAACCCTGGTTTTACCATTAAGCCATGGGCTGTGTCTGCCATCACTCCCTCATTCACATCTCTCCCAACTCTCAACTGTTTACTCTATAGTGGACAATAAATTGAGAAAGCTTATGGATCAGCATCATTTTTCATCACTAACAGGTGTAGCGCATGGATGTATTATTAGATCTGGATACAGGACCCCAAAATGGCGCCTTTTCAGTCCAATGAGAGCTGCTTAATTGGCACATACGCCAAAAAATATTGTAGCATTCGATTTCCTTTCGGAGTATGCAGCCCACTGAATGTGAGCATTTCTTCTGCTGGCCCCGCCCACAAGTTCCCCCTCGGCTCATAGACTTTACATTGAGATGACGTCACAGATTTTAAAATCTCTTTTCATGGCTCAAGGAAAGTTTTACAAATATAAAACATCCTTGGATCAACAATTCATATTAGAAACATTCTGAACTGACCTTGCAGTTCGAGTAGTCCTGTCAACAGTTTTACAGATGAGTCTTTTATAATGGTGGTCCGTTTTTGGATTCAAGGCTGAGCGGTGGTCGTGGGGGCCTGATGAAATGTCACACAACTGTATTTAACACATTGTATTTTTGGATTGTTAGCAGAAAAGACTTAACACCAAGGCTCCAGGAACAGTGCTGGGCTTTGAAGACAATTTGACATTATGGCCAAACTGTTGAATTACATCCCGTGATGCTAAGAGGCCCATAAAGACTTTTCCCCCATAGACTTACATTGTGCAAGATACATCTGTGAATTAGTGGATACACTTTTTATAGTATCAGAACCCCCCACAAAATGACTTGTTTCACGATCAAGATTTGAATTATTTGTTCCAATAACATTCATCCAACGCACATTTTATCCCTGTTCAAGTTAGCAGAGGGTTAAATCTGAAAGTTAGCTAGTAGGCCAGCGAAGTCTCTAGTGCGCCTGTTCAATTGGCCCCATGATGCGTAAGATTTGTGTAATTTTAAAACCTAGGTAGTTGAACTTTTTTGGCTCTATGTGCCACTAAGCAACTTTCATAGGAATGAATGGGGCCCTGCCTCGGGTCTCATATACATCCATTTGGTAATTAGATTTTTAAGGGCACTATATCCAGTGGATGTAAATTTCCCACTCAAAGACCACACACTGAAAAAGTGGCAGAGAGTTAATAAAGTGCACTACATAGCAAACAGAGAGTTATTTCAGACACAGCCACAGTGTCTTCTATCTGCAGAAAACATTACGCTCGCTGGTATATGCGGGCACTGTGGGACAGGCTCTCTAAGGAAAATGGCACCCAAGGAGTTATAGTTTTAATAGACTACATCAACCACCAGCACAGACTGGATGTCTACATTATTAGCGGTGAAATATTCCCATAAGTTTTCTCTCATAATGTAATATGAAACCAGACACAAGTCCAAGCTCACAGCAATTCTGTAACCTAATAACATGAGATAACAGAAACTTTTTCCAGTGAATCCCTTTTTTATCCAGCATTGCTGTTCAGCACGGTGGCTAATTATTTTCATAGATTTAAATCTCTGTGTAATATTGTAACACAGTACATTGACTTGTCCACCAACAAGCTAATGTGATGGCGCACAGTTGTCAGAAACCAGCAGTAGCCGTCCCACACTTTTGGAGATTAGTGGTAAATATTCATCATACAGATCGGGTGTCAATGTTTTGTTTTGCTGTCAAAAAGAGGTACAGGGGCGTGATGGTAATCACAATCACTTGGTATCCACAGTGTTCTTCAGCCAGTTGACGTGTGACTGACAGGAGCTACATGTTACCTTGTTTGTCTGAGGATGAGGAGGAGGTGGACGGTGATGGGGAGGGAGGTTTAGGAAAGACCCTGTCAGTGGGTGTGATGCCTGGGCTGCCCAGACCAGAGGAGCTAGAGCTGCTGGAGCGATGTGGTCCCTGACCCTGTCCGATCACAGGAGCAGGCCGGACGGGTCTGACAGGCGGAGGCCTTAGAGGTGCGCTCGGTCTACGTGCTGATATAGCAGGTTTAAAAGTAGTCATGGTCTCAGAGGAGGAGCTGCTGCTGCTACGTCGCTGGGCAGCATCCGGATCCCTGATCACCATGGTGTGGAGAGGGCTGCCGGGCGGATCCTGGGCTCCACCGGGGTGTTTGAGGGGCTCCAATGTGTCCAAAACAACATCAGGGGCATGTTTGGCTACATTCTGTCGCTCCAGCTCGCGCAACTCATGGAGAGCTGTATTCATTGTTTTTTCTATGTCCTGACAAACATAAGCAGACGGGAAAAATATGTTGACATTTAGAAATGAATATCAAACAATCAGGCAAAGAGTAACTAAAACAAAGTTCCACTGAGGATGAGGAAAACACGTCTCCCTCACTTCTCAAAATCCTATTGTTTACCTTCCTCACTTTTACAGCTTCAGTTTGATTTACACAATCAAATTTCTCTAAATCCAGAAATGACTGACTGTGTGAATAAGAGGCAAACTTTAAAGCGCTTTAGATAAATAAATGCTTCAGATTCAGTTATTACTATGGCCTCAAAGCAGAGCATTTAGGAGCAGCACCAAGTGATTAGCTTACTTTATTTGCCTCTCAGGCTGCATGCTTATGCCCACCATACACAAGAAGACTTCAAAAAATACTTACTGGGTAGTGGAAAATTTTACACCAAGCTTCCTTTAAGTAATATGACATATTAACAATGCCTTTAGTGTCCATAAATACGCATGACTCTGGAAACACAAGCTAAAAGGTGTCATATGTTGACCGTATTAAAAGATTAACAGTATTTGTACACATACTTTACATTTTAGATTGTGTGCTTCAGCTCACTACCAGCCTCTGTTGGTTAGCGGTGCTATGTCAATGAGAGGAGACGATGGGCATGAAAGGCGAGCTGTTTCAAAAATCAAGGTTTCTCACTGAAATAAGTTCTGATTGGTGGATCAGATACAAGGTGAACACCGACCCTTTCTCACTCCATGGCTCCACCAGTTTTGTCCTCCTTTTCCACAGGACAAGAAAACAACCTTGGAACAAACTTCCATCCCTACAATCATCTACATTATCATTATTCAAAAACATCTGAAAAGGACTGTAATTTGCAGAGACACAACACTTCATTTCTATTTTATTTTTTTTGTAAATTGTACATTTTTAACAATTTTGTATTCCTTCTTAGGCTGGAACTCTTGTTCAATTATGCAATCTTTGTTTTTATCTTTTTCTTTTTATGTATGATTGTTGTTATTTAATAGGGGAGGTGTCTTCATAAGCCATTTTTGGTTTCTAACATCTCCTGCACAATGTGTTTTAACTTTTAATTTCTTTTTTCTGTTTTTTCTATACATGCACGTGCAAATCAACTAAACTAAACTACAACGGAGACTTGTTCATGTTCTTCTGCCTTCCCAGAGACCCCTCCATGTTTACCATCTGCCTGGTTTGCTCCTACTCTTTTAGCGCTGGAGGGAGCATAGCTATAAGATGTTGACAATGTTTGCATTGTTACACTTCAGTATCTGCATAAGCCAAGAGTAAAAACTTACAATATTAAACATATTTGATTTTGTCAGAACGTCAAGACGAGAAAAAGACTGACTTAACACAGCTCAGATTGAGTTTTCTGACTACCATCAAACGACTGAGGAGTGCACATCGACTGAGGTAAAATTGTAATGGTTTTATTCCAACATTGGAAATATGTCTGTGACAGTGAAATCACTTAAAAAGATATTTGGTGTATGGTCAGACTGTCCAACCCTCTGATTGGTGGATGCTGGACTCAAATTTTCTTATTTACAGTCAGTATTCTCCTTAAAAGATGTTAGAATTAGATTTAAGTTAAATATTTAATCATAGATAAGGCAATAAAGGATGGTGTTCTTTTAAGATGAACGTACAATATTTATTGAAGTATAAGGTCTCCATCAACAAAAACTATATGACTTTAAGTAGGGTTGATGTATTGTTATACTACTGTACTGATTTCTCATTTCAAAGTCTATTCAAGTATCAACACTCACCTCAGCGAGTGCTTCGGCCTCAAGGGTTTTGTGATCCCCTAAACTTGCGTGCCGGGTGGTGCTGGGTGAAGATCGTTGAGAGTGGCTGTCCACGAAGGTCTTTCTGTCTGGGTGGTTGACGCAGCCGGCACTACCAAATGTGGTGAGACGTCGCTTCTCGGGACTGTCTGCTGGGCCCCTGCTAACTGCTATTTTGTGTGGGCTGCAGGGCCGAGGCATAACCCTAGGAGGCTGGTCTGCAGCTCTCGTGGGGCTGTGACTGCCAGCGCCGTTCCTGTGGCGCGGACCTGCAGCTCCATCTGATCGCACCCTTACCCTGAGAGAAATCACAGTTTGATACTCATCAGTTTGAATCTCTGACTCTCCTGACTAGTTGCACGGCATTACTCATGACTACATTTTGTGTGCACCATCAGTGTTGTGTTTGCCCGTGGAGTTTTAACTAACCTTCCCAATGCTGCTCCAAAAAGGCGCTCAGGTGTGTGTTCACAAGGAGATTGGCGGTCATTTCTGGATGAGGCTCGTTCATCTTGATGTGGTCCACTGCTGGCCGCACTATCACTTCTTGGAACGCTATCTGTGAATGCATCATCCCTGATATGGACGGACAGAAGATATTGATCTCAATTAATGGCCTCTATCCTCTGGAAATATTTATATTGGCTTTTACTTTGAGATCAAACGTTGCAAAAGCTAAGTGAGAATCCTTAACAGTGAACATCCTTGCAACAAAAACACCTAAATGTCATCAGCACAGTGAGCCTCATTACTTTTACAGACAGAATGAAACACTGGAGTCCCTAGAAGCTAGTGTTGGCAGTCCATACATCACTCCTCCTCTTAATTTAGCTTTAATTTCGTTACCTGCCCTGTGATGCAGGAGAGGCTATCAGGCAAGCAGCCAGAGCAGAAATTACAGGCTGTGTTTGAGGAGTGACCTAAGTGCTTGTCCTCCTTACAGCTCTGCGGCTAATTACTGATTGGGGGCCATTTGTTTTGCTTTCATTAGTTGTGTCAAGAATACAGGAAAAACATGAAGGAAAATAGCAGCATTTTACTCACACTAATCCTTACAAAGGCACAGGTTTTATAAGGGCAAGCTTTTATAAAACGCCAACACACAGCCTGTGACGATGGTAAGAATAGAAACAAGCATTTTGGGAAAATAGAGCAACATAAATAATGACCAAGCCCAAAGTAGCTGTTGTCCTGCAGCAGAACCGAGGCACTGACTTCTTGACTGGATCAGTTTTCTGATGCAATTGTGTACAAAAATAATGTCACAAAACTCCTACTGTGGGCTTTGCAAATCTATTTCACTTACATGTCTTGTACCACAATGTACTGATGTGGAATCAGCCCATCCACGCCGTTATGTCGGCCCTCCCACCAGTCCTCAGAGGCTCGCAGGTAGAGCAACAGAGAGGCTCCCTTCTTGAAGGAAAGCTCTCTCGGAGTTCGGCCCACATAGTCAAACTTCGCGATAGCCTCAATCTGCTCCAGCTCTGCAATACAAAGAATAGAAAGTCCAACACAAAGAAATGTGACAGAATCCAATTTGAGACCTCTGATTATCTCAGCTCTTAGGTGCGACTGCAGTCTTTGCAGTGCACTGACTGTGACTCACCTTCATCGCTAGTGTTGGGTCCAGTACCATTGTCTACCTCGTCAAGAGCTCCTGGCTCACTGTGGGGGCTTTCACTACATGGAGAGTTGGGAGAAGAACAGGCCTTGCATGTGATTCAGATTGCCAAAAACACGACTTTCATCAAAGACGAGCTCAAGTTAAATTAACAGTGATGCCAATTGCTATGTATGCTCTTAAGGCAAACGTATCCCCATCATGGTTTTCTTTTTGTTCTTTCTTTTTTTTTTTGTAAAATAGTCAATAGCAATCTATAACAAAATTATATGCTGTCCGCTAGTCCAATAGCCAGTTTAGATGCAAAATCTGGCACTAGGGCCCATCATAAGCGTGTGGAAAAAGCCTGTTGTAACCACCTTCCCACTGCATCTGGGGATGATTCATTTAGCTGCAGAGTGAGTGGTTCTCGTGTTATTCTGCTCTCTGATATCTGCAGCTGCAGACCCAGACCCAGGGTGATTCTGAGTGAGACGGAGGCAGCTGCCCGAGGGAAGATAGCTTTGCCCGGTCAGGCACCAAACTAGATTATTTTCTGCCTTTTACTTACACGTGGTGAATTTACAGCTCACAGCAACTTAATATGGTACAATCTCTGGCTTTTATTTAATACCAAGTGTCGGCAAATATCTCACACATTTTGGATAAAGCATTAGCGTAGTTAGCACGCGTTAGCTCGGAGGGCTAACATGGCTTGTTTTCTTTATTGCATGAATGTCGCTGTCACAATGAAACGTCCACCTAATGCTGTTTGAACTCTAAAACTCTATATGGAAATAAAGGAACGAATAAACCAATATTCGTAGTAACCGGCCAAATCTGATTCAACGGACATAAATGAGTCGAGAACAGCCCTAATGAGCTGTCAAATGAAATGTGAGATTCACAACTAGATTTTTGCACCCAAATAAATAATTGTAAGATCCAACTGAACATCTAAAAGGGTAAAAATATGGTTACCAAAATGATTATTGATCTACTAAAACATAAAATGAACTAACAAATATTACAAAAATACCGCTTAGTGTATTACAAACAAGACACAGTAGAATATTATAAAGAAAACAGGACTCCTGTGTTCTAGAAAAATAAAAGCCTCCATCATATCTTGGGCTTCTGTCTGGCCACAAGATCATGTGTTTTTTACTTATCAGTGGAAAAACTATCACCTGGTATAATCTGTCCCCAGCTCAGTGTTCGTCTCTGACTAAAAGCACTCTCAACATAATCAGAAGGTATTTCTATATTGAGGTTTGTGCCAAAAGAACATAATTATGCATATTGTCTGAGCATTTAAGTTAAGGTAAAAAGTAAAAAATGCTAAGTGGTTAACAACTGAGAAAAATGGGCGGTTAATGGCTGCATATAAATGGCAGCTTTTATCTAAAGTGCTTCACAATATATAATCATTCATTCATTCAAACACACAATCACACTCCTGAGCAACACTACACACTGACACATGGCGGACACCTTGCACTTACCAGTACTCTTCCCCGCCGGTCATGCATTTTTCATACACAGGTCCGTCCAACTCACGCTGGGTCGGGAAGATGACCTCATGGTGGATGATGATGGTCTTAATGATCTCGTTAACATGCGCCTGGCAGGCTACAGGGTCCTGGTCATCTGGTATTGGCATCAATGTGGGGCCAAAGCAAATAGCCAGGTTGTAGGGGTCCATCATGTTCTCATCACTGTACTGAGAAAGACTGGAAAGAGAGAAGCCGTTGGTATCACTTCACGAGTGCCACACAAGTCTGTTGGTGCAGGACTTACTGATTTAGAAACGCAAACAGGTATCTCATGACGATGATCACGGGCCGCTGAAGAGTCACAATTATCTGCTGAAGGTGATGAGCTCTTTCTGCTCCTGAGTCGAGCTCTGAAAAGAAAAGAAAAGAATGAAACATTTAAAGAAAGCTACACTTAATGTTTAAATTTTTCAGATGTTTTCCTGGAACGTGACTCACTCGTCGTGGATATGAGGTCGAGAAAACGCTCTTTAGGGAACAGCGGGTTTTCCAGCCCCCTGAAGTAGAGCTTAAGAACGCCTGCCACAGAGTTGATGTCATGATCAGCCTGATCATCCACCAGTGGATCCTCTCCTATAGACACAGCATGCATTCAATCCACTCATTAATCATTCATTGCTATCAGAGTTCATGTAACGCGGCACTGATGCTTTCTTTTATGCAGATTTCAAGATGGGAGGTTAATACAAACATTGAGAGTGCAGTTATGTTATGCATGCTGATCTTATGTATTATGCATTTTAAATGGTTTACATGTCCATTACGGGGATACATGTGACACACGGGCTCTTTATTTGCACTTTAGAGGCCTGTGGAAAAGGCTGTGGCTTTTGAGGTGGACAAAACGCAATTTAAAATCAATCAGGAGAAGATGGGCAAGCTCACTGGGACTAACCTCTTTCAAATGCATTTTTAATATCGTTGACTTCGACCTGAGAGCCTGGAACTCGAAATATACCTTGCTGCTGAAGACCTGTGGACATATAGACCCGTTAGTGTAAAATGCATAAATGTCCTATCATTTACAATGTAAGAATAGTTACCAGTCCTCACAGCATGTGCACAGCACTTCAAACCTGAAGGCATAAACAAACACATTTAAAAAAAAAAAAAAAAAAAGTGTGTGTGTGTGTGTGTGTGTGTGTGTGTGTGTGTGTGTGTGTGTATGTGTGTGTGAGAGCGTGATAAAAATGGTGCAAAATGGTGTGAGACTGGATATGAAAGACCAGAAAAGTGTGCAGCTGCAAATGATAAATTAAGGAAGGTGTTAAGAGATTGAGTCTGCCCCCTGCCAGACTTCTAGGAAATTGGTTATTAAGGTCCTGGTCAACATGTTTAATTTAATGTGTTGTTGTTTCTTGTCCTTTAATGGGAAATGCGATGTGTTTTTAGTCATTACAGGATGAAATAATGACATGTCTATCATCACTTTAAAATTCACAAACATGATTTACTCTGCTGCAAAGGTAACGTAACACTTGAAAGAAAAATCGACCAATTTTGTCAGCTAATTCAACAGATCAATTAGTCAAAAAAAAATACCTAGTTAAGTAAGTAAAATGTATTTATAAAGAGCTTTTCACAGACATAGGTCACAAAGTGTTTCACAAGGGCAATATACAACAAGAAAGAAATGACAGAGACGAAGTGACTACGTCAGCCAAGTTGTGAAAAGTGCACAACTAACAAAACTATTTACACACAGAAGAAAAAAAATCTGAAAAAGGTGTGTCTTTAGCTGGCTTTTAAGTCAGCAGATCAAAGGGAAGCAGGCAGAGCATTCCAAAATTTAGGTGCTACGGCCGCAAAAGCTTGATCACCACGTGTCTTGAGGCAAGTGCAAGGGACAGACAACAAATTTAGTGTATTTGATCGAAGAGAGTGCGTTGAAGAATACGAGTGAAGAAGCTCAGCTACATGAGGGGGCGATCACACAAAAATGAGACGCTAGAGACGCAGACGCTTCAAAGACGCTTGAAACGCTGGAAGCGCTTATTCAATGCGCGCTAGCTACTGGTGTCTGACGCTCAAATAGTTGAAAATATTTTAACTTTTCAGCGTCTACGTGCGTCTAAAAAGAAGCGTCTACAAAAACACGTCTAAAAAGACGCCGGAAAAACGGCCGTCTAAAAAGACGCTTGAACGCCGGTCAGACGTGCCGTATCATAGGAAAACAATGGTTTTACAGGCGTCGCGTTTCTAGCGTTTCATCTCTAAATGATCGCTCCCTAAGAGGGAGCCTGACCTTGTAAGTAAGACTGAGAATTTTGAACTGGATCCTAAACTCAACAGGGAGCCAATGAATATTCTATTGTTTAGGCTCTTTTCAACCAAATAATTTCTATGTTGCTATGGAGCCACAGGAACTAAATCAGGAACTTTAAGAACATTTTGCGCTTTCCTGTTGGTACATCTACCACATTTGAAGAACCATGAAGATTCAGTAAATTAATCTATAACAGATTAAAATAGGGGCTTTTGAAACATTTCATACATCCAGACAAAGCAACAGAAAGTAATTGTATTGGGTACATGCTTTGTCCTAATATTAAGCGTTTCCTGAAACCTTTTCATAGCACTAAGAACACAGTTCTTGTGTCCGTACTGTAAGAGCTAAGAACAATCATAATTCTTAAAACGATGTACCGATGGAATTTTTTAGCTCCTATTTCAGAAAAGGTACTCTCCTAGCAAAAGAGGAACCTTCAGTGATGGAGGTGTATGATCTAACACATGAGCCAAAGCAACACTGGCAACCACCATTTTTAAAAACCTGTTAGCCATGTAAACAACAGACAACACAAAATACAAACAGCAGCTTTTAATGAAAGAAATGGAAGAAAACACAGACAAATGGCCTGACAGGGACGTCCAGGCTTTACTGAGCATACATGCAACAGAGGAAATGCAACAAGATTTTGATGTAGCTTGGCTTACGTCAGTGTTCTTATTAGAGGTGTTAATGTAAACAGAATAAAAGTCCTTGAAGGTATGTAACTCGAAGGGGAGAACCCCAGTGGGCAGAACTGTTAGGTGTAAAAATGTCTGTTGATACAAGTGGCACCCAGTGCTTCCTTACTGTGTGAATGAAGCTGAACAAAAGAAGCTTCTGCAAGTTTTGTTTTTGTAAAAATAATTATTTAGTTCCTGTGTTGGAAACAGGCTATTTGAAAACTGAATACTTTTTTCAATCCAGAACATTCCTATCAAAATATGGTAGATAGTATGCTTTATCTAATACATACAGTGTATGACTCCTTGACACAACGGCTCAAGTTAAATATTTTCATAACAAAAATGTTAGCCAATATCAAAATGAGGGATCAAATATGGGTTTAAGAGTATAAAAAAAAAAAAAAACTGAAAATGGCTATGCTTCCTGTTCACAAAACATGTTTTTATTGTCTGTTCTGAGGATACATACAGAGTTTGACAAGAGAGCATTTATGTATGCAGCTCCTTACATATGGTATCTTATGCAGAAGGACTTAAAGTTGCACTCATTGGTTCCTCTCGGCTGTTTCAAACCACTGCTGCAGGATTTTTTATACACAATCTTCTACATGCCAATGTCACGGTGCGTCTTAGCTGGTCTTTTTAATCATGTGTAGTTGCCGTTTTTTGAGTTTATGGTTAATTTCTAGTATATATTAAAATACTTTTTGGCTTTTCTTTGTGGTAATCTTATTTTGTGTTTTTTTCTGTATTTTTGTTCAGTGTTGTCTGTCTGTAACTGGTGTTGCTGCCTGTCTTGGCCAGGACACTCCTGGTTAAATAAAGGTTAAATAAAATAAATAAATAAGGAAGCAGCTTTGTGTGGAGACAACATATGAACACACAAAAAACTTACCATACAGATTGATGTATCGAACACAGCTCTCAACCACCACTGGTATAGGCTGCCCTGAGTCCTACCGGGCAGATTCAAATGATAAATTGGAAGCACACACACACAGAAAATAATAGAAAACAAATAGTCATGCCAGCAGGGTGTTATCATCAGAACATCAGAAGCTCATAGAAGCAGCCCCTCAAATTAATGATAACATTGTTAATGATTTAATGTTTTTTTAAATTTAAATAATTGATGTTAAGAGTATAGAATAAAAATAAGCACACCAAAATCTTGTTAGTATTTGCACCACCATACGTTACTACCACTACAGTATTTTCACAGGAATGCCAACAGGACAGAGGCACAGAAATGTTGGTTAGCATAGTGAACACAGTGCGATTTATCCCGCCCTGCTGTAAGACAGAGTACCTGACTCCTGGCACGGACATTCCGTCTTCCCCTGGGCAGAGAGCAGTAAGGCACGTAGACAGAGGAAGAGAGGCAACAACAACCACAACAGGTTAGTGAGAGGGAGAGACAGACCGTACAGAGAGAGAAAAAGAGGAGGCCTGGCCTGAGAGAATAGCCAAAGCATCAGTGCCTTGTGGGGTGTGAGACATGAGGACATGGCTCAGCAAGGGGGGAGTGTGTGGGAGGGAGGGTGCTACCCAAGAGGATGGAGCTGAGAACTGAAAACGGTAAGGCATTTTTCTAGGGCTGCAACTAATTTTCATTATCCATCAATCTGTCTATTAGTTTCTCAATTAATTGGATGAATAATTTGTTCTGTGGGATGTCAGAATATATAGAGACCAATGCCCTTCATTGTCTCCTAAAGTCAAAGGTATCATCATTCAATCACTTGTCTTTATCTAACCAACACCCTAAAAGCTTTAGATATTCAGTCTTTAAAGAGTTAGAGCCTGAAACAAGAGATTTGGAATTTATGCTGGAATAAATGACTTCAATGATTAATCACTTTTTTTCCTGCCAATCGACTGATCGTCTTGGCTGTGCTGCTCCACTGCTGTCGATGCACACTCTGTCTTGCCTGGCCCCGTTTGATTGGGCATTAAAGTGGATGTGGCCATGTGTTTATTTGCATATTTGCAAGATGTGGCTGGTGCAGGGCCAACTGACATCATGGAGCCAAATTAATTCAGCGTCTGGAGGTTGGGGATCACAAGAGAAAGGGTGTTTAAAGCAGACCCTGCACCGAATCAAACCATCTCCACAATTTCTTTGATTGTGCTCTCACCTCACCCTATCTGTCCTAAATTGCAAGACTGTGGACACAAGGCAATGAGCAAGAGGAAAGTCAGTGCATGAGTGAGCCAACATTTGGGTAAAAGAGTGGTCAAAGGCAAGAGAACCCCCAAGGACCGCTAGCGAGACAGCTGAGCTCATGGAGAGACAAAGAGCACAGATGGGCCAATACCTGAATGAAGGCCTCCATATTGCCGTTAAACAGCTTACGGTTAAAAACGGAGCGAGGTCTAGACTTCCGAAATCTGTGGGGTTTAGGGGGAAGAGTGGGGGGCCTGGGGAGATGGTGGGGGGTGTACGGTTGGTACAAGGTAAATATGAATAATAATGCAATTGCTTAATGCAATTTTACACATCAAAACAGACATTTTTTTTCTGAAATGCTTTTGTTGGCATGTCTTTACCACCTTCAAAAACACAGTATTTAAATGAGATGACAAGATTGATACCATCCTCACATCTGTACAGTACATATGAAGCTAGCTACCAATAAGTTAGCTAAGTTTAGCACAAAGACTGGAAACGGAGAAACAGCTGGGGACTGCTCATTTTTCTGATAACCCAAAAATTCAAAGCCCCATTAGTCCAAAAAATGTCTAACTGGATTGGAAGCCCATTTCTTCGACAGCCTGCTTCTCTGAAAATACACACTCCCTGCAGTTAGATAACCCAATCACCAGAAAAATGTTCAAGTTGTACAGTTTCTGACTCAAGTGAGGGAGTTCAAGTATCTCAGGGTCTTGTTCCAGAGTGAGGGTAGAATGGAGCGTTAGACGGATCGGCGGTTTGGTGCGGCTTCTGCAGTGATGCGGACGCTGTGCCGGATTGTTAAGGTGAAGAGAGCGCTGAGCTAGAAGGCGAAGCTTTTGATTTATTGGTCCATCTACGTCCCAACCCTCACCTATGGTCATGAGTTCTGGGTAGTGACCGAAAGAACGAGGTCGAGGATACAAGCGGCCTGAATGAGTTCTCTCTGTGGGGTGTCTGGGCTCAGCCTGAGAGACAGGGTGAGGAGCTCGGAGTAGAGCCGCTGCTCTTTCGCGTCAAAAGGGGTCAGTTGAGGTGGTTCGGGCATCCTATCAGGTTGCCTCCCTGGCGCCTCCCGTTAGAGGTGTTTCGGATAGTCCCATTGGTAGGAGGCCCCAGGGCAGACCCAGAATACGCTGGAGGGATTACATCTCTCATCTGACATGGGAACGCCTTGGGGTCCCCTAGGAGGAGCTGGAAAGCGTTGCTGGGGAGAGGGACATCTGGGGTGCTTTGCTCGGGCTGCTGCCCCCACAACCCGGCCCGGATGAGCAGATGGATGGATGGATGGATGGATGTAGGGTTGTATAAACCATAACTGCATCACAGTTTTACAATATTTTGTAGCAGATACTTTCCCAACAACACTGTGGTTAAGGTGTGGTTAGGTTAAGGCACCAAAACTTCTTGGTTATGGTTAGGAAAAGATCATGTCATCCACATTTGGTGGCACTAAAGTCGCTGGAAAAGCAGGGACAGGTCAGTGAAAAACACGTGGGTTCACTGGTTCAAACACTGCTGAGAAGCACCACAAATAGTTGGTAAAAGCATCCAGAATCTGGGGCTCAAATGCAACTGAGAAACTGAAACTAAGTGCAGGAAGTGTGTATTTTCAGAGAAACTGGACCACTGAGCAAAGGGCTTTTGTTTCTGGGATAAAGAGCTGCCACAGAAATGAGCTTTCGGTCCAATGGGACATTTTTTGGGACACTAATGGGGCTCTAATTTTGGGCCATCGGAACAACAGCATGGCACCAGCTAGCCTGGCATCCAAAAGGTGAGAAATGTTTTTTAAATAGATATTTCAGGCGAGCTGTTTCCTCCTGCTTCTGATCTTTATGCTAATTAAAGAAAACAGTCTCTATATTTAGCAAAAAATCATCAAAAATCATTCACTAATCCAACTCTTGGCAGGAAAGCAAATAAGCTACCTCCCCAGAAGTCAAAGTTTTCCTTTAAATCGACTCTTAGGCAGAGCTACTGTAGCAAACTTTATCAAAGTCACTGATAATGACTACAGGGAATTATCACACACAAAATCCAATACACATCTGATTGCATTTAATGGAATGTGCTGTGGTTCAAAATAGGTAAAAGCCAAACACTTGTATTCAATTAGTCATGAGCGTGGCTTGTCAATATTTGTTCATTTTCTGCTCACTGAAATGTCTATAAATAGAGCAGCAGCAGGACATTATCCATCTCAGTGGCATTTTATTTCTCAGTCTCAACATATTTTTATAGATTAAAACTCGGAGGACCAACTTCGAGCACCGCCTGCTCTAATTAGGATCAAATCTTTTGTTCAACAAAAAGGCGAGAAGTTGAGACTACACTCATATTCCCACACTGTGATCTCATTCCTGCCACATCCAGGGACACAGGAAGGATTTTACACACCATCGCCTACTTTATTCACCCTCTTGTCACTGGACATCTTACCTTGTTGTTCCATATTCAGCCCTCTCCCCTAAAAGGAAAAAACAGCAGAGAAAGAGCCAAAATTAGTATACGCTAGTTTTACAATCAGAGAAGTTAGATGTATGGTTGAGTGCTGGCCGACTATACAAGGCTGGCAGATGGAGACGGAAAGGGGTGTTATGAGAAAACGGGCATCTATTCAGGCAAGCTCAATGGGGTGAGCGCCATGGCTGCATTTGACTCACTGCCAGGCAGCAGTCATTCAGTGGTTGCCCTAGAAACGGCACAAGAGCCCCAGAAGGGGATAGCTTGTCTACTCGCTCTGCAAAGTGAAAATGTATCCAGGGGCAACAAGAGTGGGAGGTTTGTGGGAGCTGATTTGTACAGTGTGATGATTTCACGATAGCTGCGACACATTCGCGCGTGCACACACACACACACACACACACACACATCTCACTGTATGCAAACTAATTAAGGCCTCACTTTGATCAGTCAATCAGAAATGTTTGTTCAAGGATCACGTCATGTGTAAAGCAGCTTCCAACACAATCCTACTTTATGTCAAGCACACAGAATTCCAACCCTGAAGCACATGTCTGCATGAGTCAGAAGTAGAAACACAATGACAGGGAACATATACATTCATATTCACGCTTTTTGGCATAAGAATAATGCATATTAAATACGAGGAATACCCTTCAAGTACAGTACGACTAGTCCAAGTAATTTTTCTTTGTGTTTTCTAAACTGTGTTCCATTTTTGGGCCAAAAACTGTCAAGCCATTAAGTGAATGACAGTTTCAATGACAGTTTCATATCACAATTTTGTATTTGTATACATATTCATATACGTATATATATCCACAGGAGTCTGAAAATCTATGTGATGACTAATATCACTGACTAATATATGACCAAAAGCAGATGCTGTGAAGATTTTGAAGTAGCAACACATTGACATGAGAAGATAAACATCCTTATTCACACTTTTGGTTCGGGTTGATGTATATACACGCAAGTCATAGCCTTTAACCAAAGTGCTAAAACTGACTCTGTTTGAGGCCAAAAAAAAAGTGAAACGAATTTATGCCCCAAATGGCCATTTTTACATCTATTCCCCACACAATGTTACAATTAATTCATCAAGACAGCTTTGTTTTTCATCACATGCCTTCACTGTGAACGAAGAATCCAAAAATGCGGAAAACTCAAGATGAATTTAAGTCATAGTGGTCCGCGTTTAACAACAGGAAAATGATACTAAAATATCTGTCCAAGAGTCACTTAAGCACATAATAATATTTGGTAAGAATTTCTGTGTTGATATAACATATCATATAGGTTCTGTATGTACAACAGTTTCTGTATATTTTGAATAGTGTATAGTAGTGGACTATATTATAGTTATGTTTATATTTACTTAATTGATGTGATAGAACACAGGCACAGGTTATTTATAGCAGGTATGATGCTGTAAGGCAGTAGAGTGCGGATGGCAGAAGGAGATTGTGTACAACGTCGTGCGTAAAGACGACATGAAGTTTGTGTCGACTTGGATCGTAATAAGTTCTCGATCGTTATGCAGTGTTGAAGTGTAGTAACGGAAATACAATGAGAATATAAAGAAATAGGACATTGAGTCGGTAGTGGACGACACCAGATGTAATTTTGGAAGGCCTTGGCCTGTTGTTTTGTTGTTCTTTTTTGTATTCTCATACTCCTTGTTAAGCTTTTTCCCTGCCTCATGTGAGCACTGTGGCTCTTAAAAAAGGAACAGAAACACAAATCAAAACCAAGACACCTCACAAAATAAGTGGCCAAGGAACTTCGGTATGTTGAAATGGCCACTACAATCTGTTTAGAAATGCTCACACAACTCGTGCAATAAAATCTAAGTCTCATTTATCCAGTCGTACGCTCAGAAATTCCCATACAGACAACCTTTTCTTTTTTCTTTTTTTTAAAGATATTCTTTGGGCATTTTTTGCCTTTAATGGACAGGACAGTTAAGTGTGAAGGGGAGAGAGAGAGAGAGGGGATGACATGCAGCAAAGGGCCACAGGCTGGACTCAAACCCGGGCCGCTACTGCAACAGCCTTGTACATGAGGCACCTGCTCTATCCACTAAGCCACCGACACCCCTAGACAACCTTTTCTGATAGGGAACTAAACTAGAGGTGAAACTTATCCATGTATGTTCTCTTCAAAGCTAGACTCCATTGACAAAATTTACCTCGCTGAACACAGGAGTTGCTGGTCTACCACTGCCTTGGTTAGTTTGTGAGTTTTATTGTGTGACTTTTGGTATTTTAAAGGATTAGTTTAGCTGTTTTGATATAGTTTTGCTGTTGTGAAACACAGCTCCCAGTGACTTAAATTCTCAAGACTTTTCTCAGTTTTTGGATTCTTGGTTCAGCCTGAGAAAAACAAAGATTTCTTCACAAATTCAAGGCAATAGAAGGTGAGTAACTGATATAGAAATGATAGAAAATACCACTCCACCAATGTATACCACAATAAGTCTCACCTTCTCCTAGCGTCTGCTTCAGAAGGTCATGCTTGGCCTGCAGTTTGATAATGAGATTGCTGCCATTCAAGTACTCCTTGTATTTCTGCAGATGAAATGAATAAAAAGACAAACAGTGACAAGGTTATTTCTCGTTATAATGTACGGTATGTGCTCCATGCTGCAGTGCGGCTATGCTCTCCTTTGTCTGAGAACTCACAGTGAAGTAGAAGCCCTCAGTCTCTTGTTGATTGGCTCGTCTCTTAACGATGTTTGCCTTGCTCATGTAGGAGTCAGAGGAAGCTGATTTGACCGACTCTGTGGATTGGCTGTGCTGGAAGGCCTCCGAAACATCAAAGTCCTCCACTGTGAGCATATCCTGAAGGGTCTGCATGGTGGCGTCAAGAGTCTTCCTCACCTGACACACACAGCACACAAACACAACTGAAACGTGAATTTAATTCTCAGAATATCAACAACTGCAACGTTTTTGTTTTATATAACTGTATACAAAAACCCTTATGAAATTAATTAGGTAGGCTGTACACTCAAAAACAACAAGGAATATTGTAATTACACCTGATGTATATGCTTCCGATACATCTTCTCAGTCTCACAAACAAGCGGCATGATGTAAACAAGCCGGCACAGTCTCAGATTATACCACTGCAGGCCATTTTCACAGCGGTTTGACTGACACACCGTAAACAACAGAGCAATTAACTACCTAGCATGAGGCATCGTGACATGAAAGATTAACTATGCTCCTTCCACGTGAGGCAGACAGGAAGGCAGTGTGCATTTCTATATTCATAACAGACAGGCACTGACACACACACACCCCGGTGACCTTTAAAGAAGTCTGTGTGAGTCACAGTGGCCTTGGTGACTCCAGGCCAGCTCGCCAGGGAGCATGCTGGGTCCCCCCCCCCACAGTGGAGGCAGGAGACTGGATGAGAGATGACCCCACAGGTCAGTGTCGGATTAAAGATGAATGCAAATGCAGGGTGACAGTGCTGAAGACTGTTAGTGTGACAGAGGTGAGGTGACAATCCCAGTTTCAAACACAGCAAAGCCAAAGAAGGTATTGAAATGCTTCAGGTGCCCTTTGCTGATTGATAAGCTGCAACGCCATGTTCACACTGGACATGGAGGCGCCCTGATATGTCAGCTGTCATGCAGCTGGCTGTCAGCAGCCGCTTGCACGTTCACACCCGTGGCACACTTCTCTGCGCCCGTCAGCTAGCGACTCTGCTCCTCTACTCTGCTCTAATCACATGCAGAGCTCTGTCTCTATCTGCCTGTGTGCATGTGTGTGTCTGCTTGTCACTCCTGCTCGGTTTAGACACAACTGACAAATATGTGGTGGCATGGGATGCATTTTTTATCATTTACAATAATCAGATAATTTATATCTAATATAATAAATCCTTTCTATCCTTTATTATAGCTACAGTATCGTTCTCGCTAGAGTCGCTTGCGGCTCATGGGAAAAAAAGACCAGACGCTGATACTGTTAGTTGTGAAGCTTGGGCCGCGGTGGGTGCCAAAAGGAAGCGGGCAGCGCTCCATGTAAAATTAGTGCGCTTTGTGGCGCTTCCATGTCCAGTGTGAGCCTCGCATAAGAGCGGTTAATCTTAACATGACAGAAATAATCTTCCAATTAGATGGGCCTACAAGAGACGCAGCTGTTCATATGTTTTTGGAGTTTGACATTTTCGGAAATGAGCTCATCCTCTTTTTAGTTGAGAGATGAATAAGAGGATTCACACTGCTCTCATGCCTGTACTGTAAATACAAAGCTATGGCCAGCTAGCTTAGCTTAGCATAGATACAGGAAAGTGTAGGAGCAGCTAGCGTGGTAGCAAAGTCCGCTTGCCAGAACTGTTACATTTTGGATCATAGCAAGTCTGTAAAAACTCTTTCTTAAAGAGCCCAAAGCCTGTTAACATTGTGTTATAGACTAACCCATATGTAGAGCAGCAATTATGATGCTTCAAGACATCTTCCTGTCCTGCTACATCATGGAGCCGCACTTAATTGATAGTTTGAACGATAAGACAGTAATTTCCTGTCACAGTATTTTGTAATAACCTGGTGATATGCAACGGCCTCTATGGCTCAGACTATTATGTGCACAGTACCAGGACATCACAGTATAGCATACAGGGTTTGTCTTACCAACACTGAAGATTTTTCAGTTTAACCAGTTAACTATTTTCTCATTAGAATATAATTTCCTTCACATATTTAATGGTTGTGGCTACTGTTTAGGCCATCATCTACTAACTAACTGGGTCACAAGATGACATCTCATCAAGATCTGTGACACTTACTGCCCTGGCTGAACAATTTCCTGGAGGAAACTCTGCTTTTACTGTACACCAGGACTTATGACTCAGTATATTTAGTCATATTGTCCTCGTCTGAGTCAGCATAAAAGAACAGTACTGTTTACAGCACACTTGCAGAGAGGCAGCTTCATTTTGAAATGAAACGCTGACACTGGCAACCTCCATCCCTCTGAGACTCGTGTGCACTCTCACCTCTTCATTCTCTATCTTAAGCGTGGCCAAGCGAGACTGCAGCTGGTGGTAACGCATCAAGAGCTCTGTCTGGACAGGCTGCTGCGCGCTCACCTGACACACCTGGGATTAAGGAAGAAAGGGAAGTTTACCGGGAGGATTTAACACCAAGAACAGCAAACACAATGAGATGCAGTTTGTATCAAGAACTAAGACCTATAAACAAACCGTTATTACAGGTCTGTTCTCCAATGACTCACCTCATCCCCCATGTGAGGCTGACATTCAAAGCGTGCTGGAGGACAGAAGATCTGGCTGTGCATGTCCATAAACTTCAACTTGTCTCCTCTGATGTCCATCGCATCTACTGCTCCTTCCAGCAAGTCTAAGCCCTCGTGGCGAGAAGTCTCCAGACTATACTCTGCAGACAGGTAGGTTCTCAAGGTGCGGGCCAGGCTTGCATGGAAACCTAAGTCACAACACTGAGGATAAGAAGTAAAACAGATGGTAATTATAAACTAATGAAAGACCTAGAATGTACAGAAGAAGCACTGAGACTTAAAGGACGTTCTTTCAACATTTGCATATTTGGCTCTGACAGTATTTGCTTACATCTATCATGTCTGAGACGTCATGGATATAGTATTTGGCCACCAGGGCATTGGTAGCTGCCAGATTGAGAAGATAGTCATTCCGGGCTTTAGTGCATTTCAGCTTGTTTTCAGAGTACTTGGCTTGTCTCTAGAGAGAGGGAGGAAGAGAGTGTTCCATCAATGCCAGGACGTAAAATGGATTCCTAATGTACTCAATGAATGCATTACTACATCAATCTGATTATATCTTCTATCATCTGTCAATATATCTAAAACTTTGCACAATGTAGAGATGTCATTTGTGCAAAAAGCAACTGGTGAAACTCAAGATCATTACAAATGCAGTTGTACTTGAGTGTCGATATAAAGCCTGTAATGTACAACACATACAGTATCATGTATAAACCAAAATCAGACCTTCTCCTTCATTTTCTCCATCTTCTTGACGGAGCTCCGTCGCGGTGGACGTTCGTCCTGGCCATACCGCAGCAGGCTGGAACCAATGTCGTTGGCCTTGCCAATGTGCTTCTCCTCCTGTTTCTCTGCCTCCTTCAGCTTGCTCTCAGCACTGAGACTCTCAGTGTGGTACATGTGATACGTCTTCATCACCTGCAACAACAGACATCGCCTGTCAAACTCTACTCAGTAGCAAGTCAAACAGTCAAACTGGTACATACTTGCTAAAAGAGACCTGACTTAAAGGAGTAAAACCCCACACTGAAATGTTACATAGTTATCCATCACATATTCACTGCTGCCAATATTAAGTCAGATGTCAATCTTCCTTATTTTGTCAGAATTCAACTCAATTCAAAACACTATTTGTCCTTTAGTGGCCAATTCTGGGCAAGCTGGTTTGCAAACACAAAAACGCACAAACATTTCATTCACTAGCATTAAACAATCAGACAATACAAAATGCTACAATGTAAATATTAGAAGTGAAACGACACAAAATTTGAAGGCAGCGGCCGATCCATAGCTCAACACCCATGTTGACACATTAGGCCTCATTCACAAACAAAGCGTAATGCAAATCTCACTTAAACTGTGTGTACGAACGTTTCATGCACAATTCTGGGATTCATAAAAATATTTGTTGACCTGAATTTTTTCCATGCTCTGCAAACAAATTTAAAACTGCCTTAGACAGGGTTGCAGCGATATACTGGTTATAAGGTATACCGTGATATAAACATAAAAGTTGTAGGTTCTCGTAACTTATATAAGTTACTTTGAAAGAGGAGACTTTTTACACATGCTTCCATTCACAAAATGGTTTCAAGCTTCAATTATAATGATAACCCTTCCATTTTCTTTCCTTTAAGGGTCATTCTAACTGATAATATAAATTTTGTACCATGATACCATGAAATTGGGATATTTTCTGAGACGTTATTGTACCATGAAAATCTCATACTCTTGCAACTCTGGCCTCAGACTGTGTGTAAGCACAAATGATGAAGGCCTGGCTGTGTTAGAGCATGTGAACACACACCTTTTAACTAAGTGCATAGTAAATTAAAACTGCATTCATTTGAAAAAGGCTTTTACAACAGTATTTAAAATCCTTAATTTTCTAACGCATGTACTTTTCTGACACCCTTTCATCCTCATCAATTATTGCCATAATTAAATATCAGAATGTAAAAACTGAGTGTCCCAGTCCTAGCATACAAAAGTAGGCCTATGTGAAAATGTCCTTATTAAAATCTAACATTTTTGGATTTTATTGTTTTTATTTATTATGCCTGTAATGTTGGCTAGTCACACCAATTTTAGTGTCATGAAATTTTTACTATTAATATATTAACAGGCATTCAGGGTTTATAAAAGATTCTGATCTACCTAGATAGTGCAGCCCGTTCCTTCAGGAGGGAGCGTATCAGAGACCAACATGTCTGACTGTGTGAAGAGAGTAATGAACGGCTTATCAGCTGTTTCTGAGACATTCACAGACGCACACTGATGGCCCAACACCGGTGTGTTAGGGCCTTAATATGTGCATAGAAACAACTTTACCACTTTATCCATGACACACTTCCAGGAAAACATATTTCCATATTACTAGAAATGGGGGCATGGCAGAGTGCAGATTGCAAATGCCAGGTATGCGCCTGTTAATTCAGAATGATTCTGATTCACCAACATTTGCACACTGGTAAGAAAAAAATTGGCTAATGTGCATGTGTCATGAATGAACACTTACTTTGTGGGCTAAGTAAGAACACTACTACACAGATATTGGTAAATGAGGCCCAAGTAGTCAATAAGTGCAAGAATGGTGAGTGTATTTATCACTTTTACTGTGAACACAAAGTAAAATGACCATCTTTTTTTTTAAAGATTATGTTTTGACGTCATTAGACACGACAGTCTACGCATGAAGGAGGGAGAGAGAGGGGATGACATGCTGGCTGCAAGTTGCCTTTGTATATGGGACACCTGCTCCACCCACTAAGCCACCGTGGGCCTAATGACCATCTTTTTTTAACATCAGTCTTATCAGCACTGGAATAAAATCACACTTCTTTGTGACAAAGGGGTGTGAAACTGAAAAAAAAGGTGAAAAGTCACAATGCTTTCAATATAAGATGTATAAACTGTCCTATTTTCTAATCTACTCAAAAGGAGTTCAATATACAGAGATATATTTTTCAAATAAAAGACTAATAAAAAGACTGCATAATCATGATGTGGATGACTAAAAGACTGCGAATGTTTTCCAGCCCTAAGTGTGTATGACATATGAACTCATGTAACCCTTTTTTGTTTTTTTCTAGTACACTCATAAACATTAGGGAGTGTCACTCACTCATCCTGTCGTGCTGTGTCACAGAGGTGTTGTTCTGGTTGTGTCTGTCTACATGCTTTTGTTTGTTGTTCTTTACCACGGCATTGTAGCAGGTTTAAAAAAAATCCTCGTAATGTCAAGTATGGACAAGGTTGATGACTGCTCCAAATACACTCTCCACTCCCAGCATTCAGACTGCTTCAGAGGAATGTGTCATCAGGTGTCATCAAGTGTCATAAACAGATTCATGTTCCGTGTTGTCATTAAAGACGCTGTACATAAAGGTTTAACTAGTAACCCTGAAATCAACAGTACAATTAAACAACATCTGCTCCTCCATCACTCACTCTCAAGTTCTGGTTTCCTAGCAACACTGACTGAGGCGGACGTGCAAAGGACAGCGAGATCGATCAGCAGGGGAGGAAGGAGGTTACAAAGTGACAGTGAGCAACCTTCCCTGCAACCCGGGAAACAAGAAACTACTTGATTTCCACAAAATTCCAGCAGCGGATCAATGGCAGAGACGAACACGCTGACAAAGACGAATCCATCTGATACCTCGTTTTACATTTAACACATAAGGGACAATGGAAACCAATTATACAAGTTCATCTAAGCTATAGAACTTCATCCAGCCCGAATCTTAACAGACTGCTGCCATTTCTTACGCTGTGTTGGGGAGCTGCAGACAGCCATTTAATAATGCATGAATCAGAGAGGGGAGAAAATCAATATCAGTAAAGCAGTAAAGTGCTGTATAATGTTACAGGTGAGGATATTTCTCATGTGGTTTATTACATACGAGGACCAGAGATTCACTATGTACTCACTCGTACCAAACATCCTTAAAAATGAGTGTGACTTGTCATCAATAATCACTGGAACTGCACTGCTTTTTAAGGTTTTCAATAATACTGTAGACCTTATTTCTTTTATAAGATATCTGTGTATGCAAACACAACCCATGTTACAGAATCCCCTGCATGGTAATTTGCTAAATTCTGTAAGATCATACAAGCACTAAGCAGCTTTCTGTTTGTCTTCACACCAATCTTCAAATATTTCCCTCAAAAGCATTACGGAGAGTGTTAACGTTGGTGCAATTATAGTTATAGTTATAGGTCACAATCAATTTTACAGCACCATGATAAATGCGTCTTAAGTAAAACCTTGCCCAAAGTTTTTTAATTATCTTTGATTGATCACTTGCAGCATTTACTCAATAATATTGTGGATGTGATACAGATGATTAAGTGTGCAGCACGTAGCCAAAGGTGTAGAATTTTTAAATAAAATAACGATTAAGCAGAAGGGACTGAGCACCAACCATCTTAAAGCAAGTGTATGGTCTTTTTATACTGGATAGAATTCAGTTATATACAATGTAAGAAAAAAGCTAGTCAAAATAACAGTTTGATTTGAACTACAGCAACCACTGGAGTGTCTCGGTGTGACTCAGCTAATTAGAGATGGACATTTTCTTAAAAGGGACAGTTCGCCCCAAGATCAGAAATACATATTTTTCCTCTGCCCTGTAGTGCTATTTATCAGTGTAGTCTGTTTCAATGTGAGTTGCCGAGCGTTACAGATATTGGTCATAGAGATGTCTGCCTTCTCTCTAATATAATGAAGCTAGATGGCACTCGGCTTGTGGTGCTCAAAGTGCCAAAAAAATGCATTTAAGAAACCCAACAGCAATGTCTCTTTCCAGAAATCATGACTTGGTTATTCAGGATTATCCGCAGACCTTGCTGTGAGCAGTTTAATGAGAAGACTATTTTCATTCTACTGAACTACACCCGATCTATCTCAGGTGTGTGAGCTGGATTGGCAGTTTGGCGCGGTGTCTGCTCTGTCCATCATGGTGAAGAGGGAGCTGAGCCAGAAGGCAAAGCTTTTGATTTACTGGTCCATCTACATCCCAACCCTCACCTATGGTCATGAGCTCTGGGTGGTGACCGAAACAATGAAGTCGCGGATACAAGCAGCCGAAATGAGTTTCCTCCGTGGGGTGGCTGGGCTCAGCCTTAGAAATAGGGTAAGGAGCTCGGACATCCGGGGGGAGCTCGGAGTAGAGCCGCTGCTCCTTTGTGTTTAAAGGGGTCAGTTGAGGTGGTTCTGGAACCTGATCAGGATCCTCCTGGGCGCCTCCTGTTAGAGGTGTTCCAGGCACGTCCAACTGGTAGGAGGCCTCGGGGCAGACCCAGAACACACTAGAGGAATTACATATCTCATCAGGCCTGGGAACGCCTTGGGGTCCCTTAGGAGGCACTGGAAAGCGTTGCTGGGGAGAGGGACGTCTAGGGTGCTGTGCTTCAGATAAGCAGTTGAAAATGGATGGATGGATGAACTACACCCACCAACCGTATTACTGTGCAGACGGAAGCATGCATCTACTGCTAACTCACCCAACACCACTGAGCTAGCTAACATTACAGCTCAGCCGACGAGGGCACATTAATGTTTACATCTTGCACAAGCCTCTCGTCAATGAGTAGATGCACACATGAATAGACATCTCTACGACCGATATCTCCAACACTCGGCAGCTCACACAAAAACAATCTAGACTGATAAATAGCACTACAGGTGAGACCTTTCACAGTTCATTGTAAGAGTTTATATGCTACGTTAAACTGAAATTACAGCCGTTTAAGGACTGGATTTTGGACATGATGTAGGATATTTAGTTTCACAATCTTTTTTGTTTTCTTGCTTGCCTAAACATACTTGTACTCTTGCTTTTGTTACCCACTGGGCAGTTCAGTTTTAAATAAGCATAGTTGAAAATGGTTTGAATTATAACGTTCACTTTCTGCATGTTTTGAATCATATTCACTGATTCTTTTTGCAGATGAACTGCTGAACAATAACTACCGATCACGATATCACTGAGCAATTAGACCCAGAAGGAAGCACTCTGGTGTGTTTGTTGCTCTCTGTCCCACATACAGCAGATGATATCACTGCATCAGTTCATTATCTTCAGCCAAATGAGGCATCAGCACTGAACGCAGCTGTTGTCTATCTTCACCGCCATGCAGACCATTTTTGTGTGTTTATCACCATGTGTGTACACGCGTTTCCACATGGGGCATGTAATGTATGTACAGTACGACATATAACAATAGACGGAGTGACGACACGCAAACAGATGTGTGTGATTACATGTAACATTAGCTGAAACAATTATAGCAGCTCATGTTTGCTGTGAGCACAGTGCACCTCTGCGGCACAGACTGCTGAGTCCGCTTGAAGTGCTGCCAGGGGCAAGAACGCCCTCCCCTTCAAACTGATGTAGAAACTCACAGTGGGAGGAAGAATGCAAATTTTCTCCTTTCACGACCTCAGGAGATGGAAGAAATGACCTGTTACAGGCTGCACTGCTGATAAGGCATATCTGCCATGTGCAGTGTCAGGCCAGCTGCTTCGCAGGTTACAGGTTCGGGTGTGAAAAAAAGCTCTGGCTCAGGATTGATGGTACACGGGCTAACATAGGGGAAAGGGAAAGCAGGCAGAATTGTGTAGACAAAGAAAGGTTAAGCATGAAGGGGCAACAATATTTGTTCAACTCACAGTGTAGAGCTCATTGGTGACTTTCACCAACTCCTCGTGCATCTGCACCCCAATGTCTTTGCTCTGTAAAAGAGAAAAAAAACAGGTGACGGTTTCATAGGCACATTTGAAGGACAAATGAAGGCAGGTATTCACAGATCTAAGACTGAGAACTGGGTTATCTAATAGAATTGCCTCCCTACAAGTGAAAAACTTGAAGGCCGTGTGCCAGATATATTTTGTTTGTAAAGGATGTCAGCAGGCATTGAAATGCTGTCATTACTCTGCACCAGAAAAGATCTAATACAATGCCCAAAGTGCACACACAGACAAAAATAGAACAGTGCAGTAACTGTAGAACATTTCCCAAGGAGTTGTGTCACAGTTTCAGCTCAGTTACAGGGGCTAAGAGTCTATGATGAATTGGACATGTCCCATGACAGGGCTTATAGCCCAAGAGGAGGAATGGGGCCAGCAGAGAGTGACTCTGGAAATCCTGTTCAGGGGATATGGAGCGATGCTTAGCCCAATCAATCCTGTTTTTGCCACCTCTCAGGGACCACTTGTCAAAACAGCAACCTTTGCATTTTCTTCCCTCACACGTGACAAGAATTAAATTTCAGCACATTCAGTACATTTAAACTTTGACTTAACAAACGGCAGAGTTGATTCACTCCCTTCCTCCTCGCATATGTAATTCATTAGCAGTGAGACTGCACTGCAGCTGAACCAGGATGCTACAGCATAACAGGATTATTGTTTTGGAGAAGTTTGTCACAATTTGAGCTAACTTCTTGCAGAAGGAGACAGTTTTTTTTCTGCAGGCAGCTATTAGTACTTCTCCTTATGCTGGCTGCAAGCCATCCTAGTCTCATCAAGACTCCCATCGTGACAGCGCAGAGCCCCCTAGAGGACATAAATTACAGTAGACTTCTGCCGCTGTCAAACGATACTGATCTAAGATACCCAAGGCGGAGTGTTCATCACCGCCCCTGAACCACAGGCTCTCTGGTACTCTCACGCGTACCATACATTAAGCACATGCCATATTAAATGCAAGAGTAAAACCAACAACAAGAATTCTAGACAAAAACATTCCTTGACGTTATAAATTGGAATAAAAGAAACAAGTTGCATATAATTCTCTCTCTGCAGGTTACTGACTGAGTCCTAGTTAATGTGAATTTGCTGTGAAATGGAATGAGTGGGAGTACAGGCGCCAAGAGTGATGAGGTGTAAAGAGCATCAAAAAAGGTTAGTGATCTAAATAGGGAGCAAACTGAGCATGATATTGAGAATGACATATTCATGATGAATGAGGCTCACAATTGCCAGGGACCTACTGTACGGCTAAAATGTTCCAATTTTAGGTGGGAAAAACCTCAGTGACAGGTGTGAATAGTCAACCTGATGGCCATTATTTAAAACCAAGCTGTAAAATAGGTGGGCAAACCTTGCAAACAATGTGGCATATTGTAATTGAAGTACTGATAAATCATCATTGGTCATGGCAAGAGACAGGATGTCAATGGCTCATCATTAATCAATTGTCACTATCAAGAATATTTTTGAACGGTTACGCATGTCGGTCTATAGGTTATTTTGCTACTCTTCAGTTTACTTCACTCTGCACCACCCACATCTGGTGGGAGACAGACAGCTGGCTAGCCGTGCTCCAATGTAGAAACATATGCTGCTTTCAAATGGGGTTGTGTTTACGGAGCTCTAACAGTGACAGTATTTTTTTTGGCATTAAAAAAAGGAAATATTGACACTGGAAAAATCCCCTGACAAAATAAAACACAGACATTAAAAAATATTTTTATTTTATTTCGGTATGTTTTGCATTCTGATGTGTTTTTCAATGACAATCTTAAGTTCTTCATTTTTTTCAGTTTCAACTTTCTGTCACTGTTTTGGCGTGGAGGGGAGGAGTTTGAGGGGAGGTGCAAAGATAACCATTTTATATTTAGCCTATACTTAAACTGATGCTAAAGAGAGAGACACAAAGAAAATCTGTAGGTTGTCACTTAAAAACACATAAAAATTAAAAAAATATAATAATATCATGCGTTTTATTTTTCATTTGATCTTTTTCAGTGCCACAGTTTCCTTTATTTAATGTCAAATTTTACTTCTGATGCCAAATAATTCTGTCACTGTTCTAGCTCCACATGTTTTTAACGTGTTCATGAGAAGACTTCATATGAACGCCCCCATGTTGTGGGGCCATGTTAACAATGTTAAAAAACAATGCCCACTGCCCATCCTTAACATTAGCCCAACATTAGCCTTGGCCACGTTGCACTACACACCAGCCGAGTCAGTTAGGAGCTAGTTAGTAGCACCACCGCGTATTCGGCAGTTAGCACTAGTAATGTCGTCCCGACCCAACAGTGTTGCTGTGGAAACATTATGTCCACCCTCTGGTTTCCCCTCAGGTAGCCCCAGTGAGTATACAGATCAACTTTGAGCTGCAAAACACCTTTAGCACTGTAAACAACTGTAAGCTTTGTTAGCACCGTTAGCACCGATAGTGGTGCTAACATAGTTAACCATGCTTAAGGGGTTTTGTGGCTTAAAATGAAGCTACTTACTCACCAGAGCTACCTGGGGTGGCCACCATGTTTCTGCAGCAACATCGTCCGGCCACTGGGATGGTGTTACCACTGGTAAGGGCAAATGAGCGGCGCCACTAGCTAGCTAGCTTCCACCCAACCAAGTGCAGAGCGGTCAAGGCTAACATTAGCCAGCCAGTGGAGACCAGAGGGTGGGCAGTGGGCACTACGTTTTAGCATTGTTAATGTGGCTAGCTGGAAACAAACTTAAAAGTAAGACATTTAGCCTACATCACAAAACATTAATATTTCCCTACCTCTTAATCAAATCAAACTATGTTTATTAAAATAGCCTGGCATATGGGTACAATTACAAAAATAAATGTTAGAACAAAACAAGATCATATATACACAAAAGTAAAACAAAATTAAACTAAGTATCTAGGCTAATACAAACATAAAATATTATAAAATACTAAAAAAGAGCAACCAAAAGCCATTGAAATATATGCGTCTTAAGATTTGTCTTAGAAGTGTAAATGGAGGGGAACATTAGAGCTAATGGATTACATGTACTCTAAATGGATAGCACTTTGAAATGCGCTGCTAAAGTTCACTGAGTCAATGGAGCACCAGACTAAAATGAAAGGCCTCTTGTATGTCGTGGTATTTTGCTATCAAAGGCAAAATTAATCAAAGCTGACATCCGGTGATACAGTAAAACTAATCACAAGTCAGAACCGTCTGTGTTCTCTGCCATATGAGAAACATATGAAATACACTGTACGTCCTGATATATTTTAACATATTTTTACATATTTTCGTTGGTGTGGCGTCAAGTTCCCAGCTGTGGGCATCAGTCATGCAATTTGAGCAGATAAGTGCTGTGACTGTGTGCGTTAGTAACGGTCAGGGTTACATGCCCTCATCCGTTTAATTCACAGTCTGACCTTTTTGAAGAGTCTGATGACATCCTCGCCCACGTGTGCCAGACGGACAATGACGTTGTTGTTGTAGATGTCGCTGAGAGTGGCGTGGTCTCTGCTCTCCCGCCTGGTCTGATCCAAGACCAAATACCAGCAGTTCACAGTGGACAGGAGATTCTGGTCCTTTCTGAAAGAAGCCAAGGAAAGACTTTACGAGGATGAAAATATAGGTCTGTTTCAGTAAACAATTTCTACAAAGCTGCCCAATGTAGACTAATACAACTGCAATATTCAGTCACACTGTGTATTTCCCATAAGTAAGAAAAAAGGGGTTATTGTCCTAACATAAAACAGGATAAAGTCTTTCTTACAGACCACACAGATCTTACATCTGATCCATTGGTACCAGCTCTAAGGCTTTACATATCACAGATCAAGGGGTCACTGCACATGTAGTGAGGAATCAACTATAAAGGAGGCAGCTGTACACACACACGCACATACAGGAAGACACACACAGAAGGCATGCCGACTGCACTCGCCTGCTTGCTCAAGGGAGCATGTGAGTTCAATTATCCTCACACCAAAGAGTTTGTTTGTCTTCATCTTTTGTCTTTGGAGAGATTTTAACTGCTTTTCTGACCTCCAACAATCGTGACTACAATATGAAAATGCTGCATCATACGTTTCATGAACAGCCTGCTTAAGAGCTGTGTGTAAAACCCTTCTGTCGCTGGCTGATAGCTGACCTATGCTGGGATCCAATCCAGATAAATCCAACTCTGTTTTTTTTCTTTAATGACTGGCGAGAGGAGAAGAATGAAGTTAAGATGATTGACTTTAACACTTTGCATGCCTTTGTTGATAGGGAAGAGGACATTCAAAATGCAGTTCACACACCGAAAGTCATTTCAGCTGATTTGCACCCACGGAGCCTTTTATCATATCACACAAGCAGTCAGTAACTACAGAAAGAGTAATGAACAGTTTGAGTTTGTAGAGCAAAGTCGCCACAATTATCTCTTTAATTGAGTTCATTTTCTAAAAAAAAAAAAATATATTCTCTAACTTGTCATATTGAATACCATTATGCTGCTTGTGACTTGTGCACTTGCTTGAGGCTGCCAGTTCCTACTTATGTTGGCAAGAAACCAATGCACACACACTGACTGAGCTCCATCAGCATCACCATCCTAACCATCCTAAACCTCTGTAGCCAACTCCAGGAAGGTGTGCTTGAGCAAAGATGAGTGATATAGTGATGCAATGATTCTGATGTGGCCTATTGATTTCCATGAATGGTTAGTAGGATGCCTAAATTTATACTTCACTAGCTATTAGCGATGTGCCATACTGAAAGCTGCCTTTTCCAAGAGCTCATTCCAGCACTGTCAGACGCAGTGGTACTGGTTGCAGAGTGCTGCAAGTTTGGTGCCCCAAGCCAGAAACACCAAGACCAAATATACCAATATAGCATGAATTACACAGTGATAGAGGCTGCAGAAGATTCAGCAATGGACAGACATGACCAATGGATCCTTTAATAAATAATACAAATTTTAAGATGAACTCATTCTTTCTGGTTCCTACCCAGTACACAGTCAAAGCAGTCATACAGAAATTGATAAACAATCTAGCTGAATAATCTGGCATCTACTCGGGGTGTAAGAAAAACAGGGACTGTAATAAATACAAAAGCAGATTGCGCTGTTCCGATGGCATAAAAAGATGTTTACTTACTTTTTATGCAATCAGAACAGTGTGGTCTCCATATGGTGGTGTGTTATTTATACTATGACAGTTTTCCTAAAATTAGATTCTTTAAAAATCACAATACAATGAAATATATTGAATTATTACCCCTGTAACATGATACATATCGCATTTCAAGATTCTTGCCAATACATAACCCTAGCCTACACTGTAAAAACATTACACAAACAGCTCTTTTTAATACCATAGAGTTCTGCTTTTCACATGGCTTATCACAACACTTTTCACATCTGAGTTAAGGGAACCTTTTCTTGCACCAGAAATGTTCTATCTATCCATTTTCATCCACTTATCCAGGGCCGGGTCTCGGGGGCAACAGGCCAAGCAAAGCACCCCAGACGTCCCTCTCCCCAGCAAAGATTTCCAGTTTCTCCTGGGGAACCCGAGGCCAGATGAGATATGCAATACCTCCAGCGTGTTCTGGGTCTGCCCTGGGGCCTTCTACTAGTTGGACATGCCCGGAACACCTCTAACAGGAGGCGCCCAGGAGGCATCCTGATCAGATGCCCGAACCACCTCAACTGACCCCTTTCAACCCAAAGGAGCAGCGGCTCTACTCTGAGCTTCCTTCAGATGTCCGAGCTCTTCACCCTATCTCTAAGGCTGAGCCCAGCCATCTCTCGAAGGAAACTCATTTCGGCCGTATTCGCGATCTCATTCTTTCAGTCACCACCCAGAACTCCTGACCATAGGTGAGGGTTGGGACGTAGACGAACCAGTAAATCGAATCCCTCTTTACCATGACAGCCCGGCGAAGTGCCCGCATCACTGCAGACGTCGCACCAAACCGTTGATCCATCTTATGCTCCATTCTACCCTCACTCGTGAACAAGACCCTGAGTAACTTGAACTCCCTCGCTTGAGGCAGCAAGTCTCTCCAAACCCATAGGAGGCAATCCATGGGTTTCCAGCAGACAACCATGATCTCAAATTTGGAGGTGCTGACCCTCATCCTAATGGCTTCACACTCGGCTGCAAACCAAAAATGTATATTTTGCATAACTATATCAGACATCCCTCAGTTGATCCAAGTAACTGCATATCATTTATTGCTATTTTCAGGCATGGAGAACCTCAAAGTTAAATTCAGGGTCTGCATCTGCTGGTCAAATAATACACTATCATTGCATCTGTGTCTATAAATACATGCTGACTTAAAGTTGCATGGTAGTAATATGCAACTTTATATGCTAGTAAAGACATATGCTATTGACAATATGACTCCTCTGTGAAAGTAGATCCTGCAGTATCAAATGTTATCTAGAAACCAACACCTAATAAATTATTCCAAATGATTTGTTGGTCTCTTTACAGATCATGTGATGAAAAACTGATCCACAGTAATATCTTAGACTATAGCTTGAGTCAGAAATGCAGCAGTTATTTTTGACTCTAATCTCAGTTTTGAAGATCATATTTCAAGAGCAGTCACGACTTGTTTTCTGTCAGCCACTTCAAAACTTTGATCATTTTATCCTTGGACAGTTTTTTCATGCTTTCATTTTCTTTTTTTTGAAGCGAATGACTGTTTCCCTGTCTCGGTGAAGCTCACTCTGATCTTCAGCTAATGCTAGTTTTTCTGCTCCTCTGTGTATCCAAAGCAATGCTGTAATGTAATCAGAAAATAGCCTTTATACCAATGTAATATAATGTGTCAGAAGTCAAACCACATTCAGGTATGAGTCATTTTTACGTGTACGTTATCCGTCTTTGTTCCAGGTCTGAATGTCACATCTGTGATACATATAGTCAGAAATTTCTGCTGGCTTTTGATGCTTAGTGTCGACACTCTACTTCAGTTATGACTCTATTCTTCTGTCTGGATCAATAATGTTAAGAAAGCAGCACAATCTTACTACAACAGAACAGCAATCTGAAAAGTTCTGTGTCGACGGCGAGTTAAAAGAGTTGCACTCGTGATGCTAAAGGTAATCCAGAGTGCCGGGCATCAGCATCTTCGTTCCTTTCATCCTTTAACACTTTGATAAAAAACATGAACAAGCTATCCCTATAGGCACTTCTTTCAAGCACAGCAGGTGTTTGATCCTGTACAGTACATGGGATGCCAGGAACCTGACTGCAAATCTTTGGCTGTTGGCTGCTCTTGAATAAGGATGGGACTGTAGTATTCAGGACACAAAGCAGTTGATGCACAGCTGCTCAGGCAAGATGACGGGAGAAGTTCTTCTCACCCAACAACTCACAAAAAGTACAATAAAACCTGTTACACGGCAAGATCTCTGCATCATAGGGTAGCACCAGCCAGCTGAATTACAGCGACCTGACAATGCAAACACACACTGTGTCTATTAACTATTGTAAAACACACTGAATATAAATTGCCTTTTCAAAAAAGCAGCATAGAGTTATCTTATAATCACATTTTTGCTGCAGCCACTCTATTGAAGATGTTGAAAATGTTACTTGACAATCTCCCGCCAGCCGCTTTATTAGACATGACGTCAGAAATATGAACAGATCCAGTATAAGACAGAAGGGCACTGAGGTTCTGCTGTTAAAAAAAAAAAAAAAAAAAAGTAAATTAAACGACAGAGAGAGAGAGAGTGTGCAGAGAGAGAAGGCCGCGTGGGATTATTAATGATAGAGCCTTAGTCGGCCCATTGTAGTTTGTGAGTGTGAATCTAGCCTATGACAGACAGATACAATGATGACCATTTAATGTGACGGGGGGGAGAATCTGGGACAGCAGGGTTTACAGAGAAGTCATGCAATGTGAGTCTTTTGCAGGGGTCTCCCTCTGAGGGAATGCTCCATTTATCAATGTCCCAGTGACAGGAGCTCTCCGCCACGATTACGCTTTGCGTCCAATTGGCCGGAGAGACTGAAAGAGAGACGGAGAGACCTCTCCTAAATAAACCAACGTGTTTGTTACGCATGACCGAGACAGCCAGGTCACATGAAAGGATGTGTGACCGCCTATGAATCAATTATACCATCTTTACTGTAGTGCTTTGTAAGGGAAGTTCAATTTCCTGCGCTGCTCTTCCAGTACTGCTACGCTGAGCATTAGAGAACAAGCAGAGTCTTCTAACAGATTTTAATTTGACTAATTAAACTCAACTCAATGTCCATTTATTAGCCTTTCAGGAGCTTTTTAACTGCACTTGGCAACCTTAATTGGTCCGTTTCCAAGGTGAGGAGCAGATTTTTATGCCTAAAATTTTCATTGAACGCACTGTAATTTATTCATATTAATTCCGATCATTCACTTCCTCATATTCATGACCACTGATTCAAATCAGGCACATGGCCATCGGCAGCCTGTACAGTTAGAATATGATCTGAAAGTCACAGCGAGCCGCAGGCTGGTCAGAGCATCCAAGCAGCGGTTCCTCAACATGCTGTATGGTATGTTTGTTTCATGACCGCACATCTCCCTTACACAAACATTTAAAACAAGTTAAGTCAATCTGAGCAAAATAACCCAGATTGCTGCTTTCTTCAGTCCTAACCGAGGCTCTAATTTGTTTTCTGTGGCCATTGAGAAAATATGAGTATTTGGGTTGCAGTCTAGCGTGAAGTTGTCTGAGAATGGAAATGAAATGACGGCCACATAGAAAGGAAGGGGGGGGGGGGGGGGGGGGGGGGGGGGGGGGGGGGGGGGGGGGGGGGGGGGGGGGGGGGGGCAGGATAAAGAGTCTGACCTAGTTGGGAGGAACACAGCAGCCCGAGGCCACAAGCTTCCATGGCCCTGGCTTCATTTCAGGTCATTTCTTCTGCTTTTATCCCTCCTCTCCTTTTTGTTGCTTATCCCTCCTCTGCCTCCCCCCTTTCTTTTCTTTTTTTTTTTCCATCTCTCTGTGCCGTGCCAGTGATCAGAACGAAATATGTTAATAGTTGTTTATCGGTCAAACACATTCAACGCAGACGTTGCAGAGCTTAGCAGACAGACAGTGGCGAGACTCACTTGAAGTGATGGTGCTCTCTGGAGGTGCGGATCTTGGCAGAGTAGCGCTCGGCCAGTTTGTCAAGGCCTCTGGAGTACTCAAGCTGGAGCTCGGCCTTTCGACGGAAGAACTCCTGCAGGTCCTGCAGCAGCTGCAGCCGGGACTCAGACTGCTGCTCCAGACAACGGAACTGCTCTACCAGCTGGTTACGGATCTCTGCATATCAAAAAGGGAGAGAGAGACCACCTTCAGAATAAATAGAGCCTCTCTGGGGGAGAGGGGGCTTACATGCTGGGCCTCACTTCTGCCTGCCAAACAGTGTTGCAGGTCAGCATTTACCCCACAATTCTTCAGCAGAGGATTTAGCAAATACACATATGTGAGGGAACAGTCGAGCACAAGCACTAATAAAACAACAAAGTCATCATAATTTGATAAAACTGGATGTCAAAGAGCATTTATCCACTGTGTGTATGTGTGTGTGTGTGTGTGTGTGTGTGTGTGTAGTGGGCGGGAGGAAGGGAGTGTGGGGGTGTCTAAATGCTGGGGTAGCACACGTGCATATGAGATGCACGTCTGATGATTGCAGCAGACAGCACGGAAAATATAAAATAGGTCAGCTTCTCAAAATGCATTGTGCTGAGCGAGCCTTCAGAGAAGTTTGTCTTGAAAAAACAAATTGCGGGCATTCTTTCGATTACAAGATTGCTGTGGTTTTCTGCTTATGAGGTTTGGAAAACTCACTGCTCCTATTCATAGTCTAAGAATGAGGAGAAATTAAGTTTTGGACTAAATTTTGAAAATATGGTTGATATAGCATTAACAAATGGTAAAACAGTTTTCAAAATGAAAGGCTTAGGGGAAATACAGTATTTCCTGTTTACTCAGAGGGCTATATGTTGAGGTCTAGCTTTATCCTGTGCTGACAATTTCACTGCTGTAGCTTGTGTGTTAAGAGTATCATTAATCCAACTAGGTTTTTTCATAAGGACCAGGAGTAAATATTCATCTAGGTTTTCCCTGCTGGGCAGCTTGCACTGGTAGCTGGATGTTCCCATACACCTCTGGGATTTCAGGTGATGAAAACGTCCACTGAAGTAATAACATCACTTTGACAGTCTTGCATTAACACTGAAAAAGAACACAAATAACATTTTATTTCATCCATATACTGTTTATTGCAAGGCTGCCATAAATCCAGGGGCTAAGTGGCTGCTGAATGTTTGGCTGCAGACCATAAATCGTGTCAGAGCCTAGGGCTGAGTGATGTGTTTGACATCACCACCGGGATATTGCTGAGCATATTTTCCAAAATCTCTCTATATGTCACAATATTTCACATGTACAATAAAAATCTGAAAACATTTAATCAAACAGATGCTGAAAGCAATAATCTGGTTGTGTAGAGTTCAGTTGATTTCCTTTTTTTCTGGTTATTCCAGTCCGGTCTGGTGTGCAAGCTTAGACCGATTGGATTTAATGCAAACCAGCTGAACTGGCATTTGTCACCATGACACTTCCAGGCAAATTTTAAAAGTAGCTTACATCAGTAACCTATGCTGAAGGTGTCATAGTGCTAAATTCAACTGGTGTTGCATTGGTAATACATGAAATGACAACATGATTAACATAATACTGAGTTCATAAACAGACTAATGGAGCCACTAGTATCTTACAGGCTGTGAGCCAAGCACAGCAACATGAAGAGGAGGGGGAAAGAAACCTGGAAATCCAGATGCCCCACCCCCAGCAAATTCGAATTTGCTCTGCACGGGAATCTGGCTCCGACGAGCAGAGCCTGCTGAATCGCCAATCTGACCAATCAGATCAATCTATCTGACAGAGGCGGGCTCTGGGCGGACGTAACATGATAACAACAACGCTGCGCCATAAGAGTCAAAAAGTAAACAGCCAAGATGGCAGCTGCCGAAGGACCGCATCCATTCAATTTAGCTTTGGAAGAAACGCTAAGCCAACTACAATTATCTTTTTCCTTGGGAGAGGAACAGAAGACTGCCCAAGAAGCCTTCGCTTACAGGAAGGACATTTTTGCTGTTTTGCCGACGGGATACGGCAAAAGCATAATATATTAACATTCGGCAAACCAATGGGGCTTAGTGTAATGAATACATCACCTTGTTTTTTGCTCTGATTGGCTATCATGCTATCCAATTGCGTGCGGCGGCATTTAATATGCCTCAGTTAGTGCCGCCCCTTGGGTAGGAAGGCTGTATTGGTGAGGGCCAGACTCAAAATCTTTCTAGACTTGAGTCTAGATTTACAGGCTAGGGGGAAAGCGCAGTGCACATTGTGTTTGTTTACTAGAAAGTTGATGTGTTTTTTGGGTGACAAGAGGTGACGTGGCAAAGTTAGTCTGTCAAGAAAAATAAAACTGCTCCAATATGGCAACATTTTGGATTTAAAGCCAATGAAAGAGATGTCCTAACTGGCTGTGAGCAACAGTGTACTACATAATTATCAACAAGATACCTCCTTATTTCACTGAATAAATAAATAAGATGGCAGCTGGAGGGAGATCGCCTGGTAGGTTAATGACCATTAATAATGACAAGCTAGGCTACTTGCTGTTGGAAATTGTATTGTATGTGTATGTTATTTTCAGTATATATCACATTACAAAACATGTTCCTGTTTAAAAAACACAAACATAGGAAGACAGCAAGTAGGCTAATTGCCCATCTCTTAAGTGCTTATGTATCCAGAATAGAGTAGACTTTACTGTCATAGTGTCATTGCACAAGTTGACCCATTACTGCATGTTTGAGTCAAGCTAATTGATTCTCAATATAGCTCATGACACAATGGTGGGGCAGTGTTTGATTCTAAACTGATATTTAAGAGTTCTTCTCAACTGTACGAGAACCACATATTCAACCACATATTCACTCACATATCCATACGAAGAGCAACCGCATACAAGTTTTCAGGGGCCAACCCACCATCTTATCCAGTACAGTACGACCTTGAGCACTCAGCTAATATCTATGTGGTTTGTTTTCATGACATAATAGAAGAGCATATTTAATGTAGACGGAGAGCTCCGATGTTGCGTGATGTATCGCAATAATCAGATGCACGTGTGTTGTTAGAACAAGAGATCATATGTCCCACTCGCAAGCGGTTGCAAAGTCAAGTGTGACTTGATCTAGTGGTAAAATTTGGTATACTGGTGTGTATATTGATGTTTGGCTTAATATCAAACCGTTCTGAAAACTTTTTACACTGGTCCAACCCTACTGCTGTAGCCTACAGCACAGAGGGCCAAACTCTTCATCGGTATAAACAAAAACTTGAATCATTAGCCTAATTTTGTTCAATCGTCAATCTGGACGACAGATATTTGTAGAGCAACAACACCATAAGACAGTATCATCAGGGCATAATTTTGAGCTCACATCTGTGGATTATAATACACACCTACACACACACACACACACACACACACACAGGGTGAATAAACAGCTCCACACTCTTCAAGACAATATGAAGCAGCTGAGCAACATTGAGATGGCTGATGATTCCATTATGACAGACTGTTTCAACCACGCACATGATTACACACTGAAAAAAACTGTAGAAAATTTATCAATGGAAAAGATGGCCCAGCAGAAGAGAGGCCCTTTTGTTCACTTCTAAATGATTTTCTGTATCTACAAGAAAGGAGTTCAAAAATGTCTCCCACCCCAGACCGTCTGTGAGTGCGTGAGCGAAAATGTGAATGAAAGAGCGAGAGCGACAACGACAGAGTAAATATGTAGTCCCTTGCTGTTTGGAGATGTACCCCTCATGGTCCCCATAGTTGCCCTGTTGCCTGGTTACATGCCTCTGGAGGCATCTCAATGAGAGCAGGCCAGTTCCCTGTTCTGACAGTCGCAGCAGTCAGTCTGTTTAGCATAATGGCCAAGGACAAGGGCAACTTTCTCTGCTTTGAAATACTCAATAAACAGCCTGTGCTGATGAACGAGGCAGCAATCAAGTTCAAAATAGCAAGAAATGTCACTGCAATGTACTCCTGTGCTAAAATAGACCACTGAACAACGCAATTTGTTGGCCTGTGTGACTTTAATCGTCCTTAATCATACAGCGACAGTATAAAAGAACGAGCGGACAATGTAATCTAAATCTAAATTGATTTAACTGCATAATTTTATCAGCAAGACATCAAATAGACTCATGATATTTGCATTCGCTCTCCGGCGAGCATGTTATTTTTAGAACTTAAACTGTTACTAGGGACTGTGCAACACTGCACTACATCCGATGAATGATTCAAGCCTTTGCAGAGTAATGCATAATTACGAGGAAGCTGGCAAGGAGCTCAAGTGAATAATATACGGAGAAGTAAGCCTCAAAAGATAAACGCAGACTCCTCTCCATCTTTTCATTGATGACACAATAGTGCAGATGTCCTCAAATGAAATACATTTGCCACATATGCTGCACCGGGTTCTCTTCCTGGGAACAGTGTGCAGCCAAAATGAATCAAATGTTCCACACCCAAAGGCTTGTGGAAATTTTGCTAATAGGACATTATCCATTTGTGATGTTTATTTTTCTCCTACCCCATATGGTTAACATCCTGGTATGTTTTGGTGACTTTAACAAGTATTTTGAGCATAAATTAATTGCTTCCAGAAACCTGAGGGTATCATTGAAACAGCAGAAGAAAATGAAGAAAATACCCACTCCAGCTGCAGTGGAATACTGATGCACAACAGTTCAGAATATTTTGCCAGCATTAACATGTTCAAGTTTTTTTAAAGGGACACTACACCCCAAAATCAAAAATACATGTTTCCCCTCTTACCGGTAGTGCTATCAATCTAAATCAGTGGTTCCCCATTGGTCCAACCACTGGGTGCAGATTTCTCTTTAGTCATTAGCTTGAAGTCCACACAGTTTAATAAATTCAGCATCATGGTTGCATTTGGCCATGTCATCTAGCTAGTTTGCTGTCTCTGTCAAGTAGCTTATTTTGAAGCAGCACTTCAAAATAAAAGCTCTGTGTTGGAAATTTACTGCACTTAAAAATAAAGTATGTTTTTTACAAATTTGACACATTTGTGAGTCACTATGGATAGGTGCCCCACTTTTGGACCGCGACCCACCAGTCAGGAAACACTGATCTAGATTGTTTTGGTGTGAGTTGCTGAGTGTTGGAAATATCGGCCATAGAGATGTCTGCCTTCTATCCA